ATGACAAAAATACGTATTTTCTAGTTACGTTCCGAACTTTTTGAAAAAAATTGCAAAACAATTTTTTCTTAATTTCTCGTACTTTTTTCTTAATTAACTCGAAAAATAATTATCTGAATAGTTTCCATCAGATGATAAAGAAAAAAAAGACACGAAAAACTGTGGCATATACATTTTTTCTAGCATCCACTGTTTTCTGAGCGCACGTGTGCAAAGATCGGTAATTCTCGCGAGAATTGAAGCTACTCGAATTTTCTGGCAATTGGGAGAGAAAGTAAGCTTGTTTCTCATTAAACTTACTGATTCTAATATATTTTCAGTCTGTAAAGTGCCCAAATTACGGAAAAAATCGACAGTGTGCTTGTTTTTTCTCAAAAAAAAGGGAAAATATTGGATTTAAGAAAAAAACCACTCATTTTACGAGCAATTTTCTAAGCACAAAAATGCGTACTTTTCGGTTATATTTCGAATGTCATAGGTTGCATTGCAAATCTGCAATAGTTCACCCTCTGCAAGTTTCTGATGACATAATAAACACAGGCCAGCCATTGCAACCTGGAAACAAAAAATTATAGCACTGTGATAGAATTTTCTTAATTTAGGAACGTACTTAATCAATAAATTGCTGAAGAAGTTCGAAAAGCCACGTGTACACAGAGCTTGCTGAACACGGTTATTAAAAATCTATGCCGATGAACACTATCAAGCGATTCAATTTGGAAAAATATGACCGTTTGAAGTTTAAACTTGTCAGATAGCGAATGCCGAGACCATTACTATCCTTGATGCGACGTGCGGCTAATTTGGCGGTAATTCTATATTTTGAACAAAACTCAAGAAACGTCTTATAACAAGTCAGTAAAATACAATTTAATGAATTTTAAGCCTAAACTGGAAATCGCAAAAAATCAAATTACAGTAATGTAGTGTATACACGAGTTTTGGATCCCGCGGAGCGCGTGTAATGGGACTTTTGTCGGGAGAATTCTACAACTTAGAAGAAACATACACACTTTAAACTTTGTATACACATTTAGAAGACATGACATTTGGGTTTGTTTAATTTTCAGACCAAAAAACTAAAAATTGTCAATTTTAGGCAACTTTTCTCAAAAACCGTGTTTTTTGGTCGTCACTCAATGAACAGTGGTCAAAAAAAATAGGTAAAATATATTTGCAGAATTTTTACTTTCCTATCTGTATACAGATATAAGGAAAGTATAGGAATCATGATTTTTTTCGACCTCGAGTTTTCGACGGATTTTTACGTTTTGAGGTCCCCTGAATCCGTTTTGACTATTTTCGCGATGATGTTTGTCTGTCTGTCTGTGTGTGTGTGTGTGTGTGTGTGTGTGTGTGTGTGTGTGTGTGTGTGTGTGTGTGTGTGTGTGTGTGTGTGTGTGTGTGTGTGTGTGTGTGTGTGTGTGTGTGTGTGTGTGTGTGTGTGTGTGTGTGTGTGTGTGTGTGTGTGTGTGTGTGTGTGTGTGTGTGTGTGTGTGTGTGTGTGTGTGTGTGTGTGTGTGTGTGTGTGTGTGTGTGTGTGTGTGTGTGTGTGTGTGTGTGTGTGTGTGTGTGTGTGTGTGTGTGTGTGTGTGTGTGTGTGTGTGTGTGTGTGTGTGTGTGTGTGTGTGTGTGTGTGTGTGTGTGTGTGTGTGTGTGTGTGTGTGTGTGTGTGTGTGTGTGTGTGTGTGTGTGTGTGTGTGTGTGTGTGTGTGTGTGTGTGTGTGTGTGTGTGTGTGTGTGTGTGTGTGTGTGTGTGTGTGTGTGTGTGTGTGTGTGTGTGTGTGTGTGTGTGTGTGTGTGTGTGTGTGTGTGTGTGTGTGTGTGTGTGTGTGTGTGTGTGTGTGTGTGTGTGTGTGTGTGTGTGTGTGTGTGTGTGTGTGTGTGTGTGTGTGTGTGTGTGTGTGTGTGTGTGTGTGTGTGTGTGTGTGTGTGTGTGTGTGTGTGTGTGTGTGTGTGTGTGTGTGTGTGTGTGTGTGTGTGTGTGTGTGTGTGTGTGTGTGTGTGTGTGTGTGTGTGTGTGTGTGTGTGTGTGTGTGTGTGTGTGTGTGTGTGTGTGTGTGTGTGTGTGTGTGTGTGTGTGTGTGTGTGTGTGTGTGTGTGTGTGTGTGTGTGTGTGTGTGTGTGTGTGTGTGTGTGTGTGTGTGTGTGTGTGTGTGTGTGTGTGTGTGTGTGTGTGTGTGTGTGTGTGTGTGTGTGTGTGTGTGTGTGTGTGTGTGTGTGTGTGTGTGTGTGTGTGTGTGTGTGTGTGTGTGTGTGTGTGTGTGTGTGTGTGTGTGTGTGTGTGTGTGTGTGTGTGTGTGTGTGTGTGTGTGTGTGTGTGTGTGTGTGTGTGTGTGTGTGTGTGTGTGTGTGTGTGTGTGTGTGTGTGTGTGTGTGTGTGTGTGTGTGTGTGTGTGTGTGTGTGTGTGTGTGTGTGTGTGTGTGTGTGTGTGTGTGTGTGTGTGTGTGTGTGTGTGTGTGTGTGTGTGTGTGTGTGTGTGTGTGTGTGTGTGTGTGTGTGTGTGTGTGTGTGTGTGTGTGTGTGTGTGTGTGTGTGTGTGTGTGTGTGTGTGTGTGTGTGTGTGTGTGTGTGTGTGTGTGTGTGTGTGTGTGTGTGTGTGTGTGTGTGTGTGTGTGTGTGTGTGTGTGTGTGTGTGTGTGTGTGTGTGTGTGTGTGTGTGTGTGTGTGTGTGTGTGTGTGTGTGTGTGTGTGTGTGTGTGTGTGTGTGTGTGTGTGTGTGTGTGTGTGTGTGTGTGTGTGTGTGTGTGTGTGTGTGTGTGTGTGTGTGTGTGTGTGTGTGTGTGTGTGTGTGTGTGTGTGTGTGTGTGTGTGTGTGTGTGTGTGTGTGTGTGTGTGTGTGTGTGTGTGTGTGTGTGTGTGTGTATGTGTGTGTGTGTGTGTGTGTGTGTGTGTGTCTGTATAACGCATAACTCATGAACCGATACACAGAAAAACACCAAATTTTAAACTTAAGCTTTGTTTCAGCGTCCAATGAGCTGATTAGATTTTGGGCAGAGTCGGAACATCTGGGGGGGTACTTTATAGGTGGTCATTTTTATATTTTATGGAATATATCTGTTATTTACGTTTGGAGAAGAAAATTCTTCAAATAAAAGTTTTTTCTAATATAATTATCTATAATTTTTGTTATATACAAAATTTTCCTAAAATGGTCCGTATTCGAGAAATTTGACAAAATGTAAAAAAAATAATTTTTAATAAAAATTGTTTAAATAAAAGTTGTTTGTAATATAATTTTCTATAATTTTTATTCTATAGATAATTTCTCTAAAATGGACCGTATTCGAGATATTTGAGAAAATGTGTAAATTTCGAATTTTGAAGAAAACTCAAAAACGGATAAAGAAAAAAACATTAAATTTTAAACTTAAGGTTTATTTCGGCCTGACGTGAAATGACTAGATTTTGGACATAGTCGGAACATCTGGGGGGGTACTTTATGGGAGGCCACTTTTATATTTTATGGAATATATCTGTTATTAATGTTTGGAGAAAAAAATTGTTCAATTAAAAGTTACTTCTAATATTATTATCTATAATTTTTGTTTTATGTAAAAATTTCCTGAAATCGTCCGTATTCGAGAAATTTGACAAAATGTGCAAAATTCTGATTTTTATGAAAGTTTTTAAAATAAAAGTTGTTTGCGATATCGATCTCTATAATTTTTGTTAATGCATGATTTTTCTAAAACGGACCGTAATGAAAAAATTGTAGGAAATTTAAATTTTTCAGTATTTTCGTTTTCCATGAATATCTATAGAAAAATGTTTCGAGGTAGATGTATGTGGACAATGTATATATTTAGTTTATCCTCTAAGAATTTATAGAGATGCTGTAATAGGTTGTACAAAATAACCGGAAAAAGCCTACAATAACTAGATAGGAAAGTCATGTGTTGGACACATAGAGTACTCACATAGAGTACTCAAAAAAAAAGTTTTGAGCCATTGGGTGTATTTTTGGCATTTTTGTGCCACTTCAAACTTTAGAAAAAAAAATTATTTTTTTTTTAAGGAAAAAAATTTATTTAATTGTTTTATATCTTAGCCAATTATTGTCCGATGTAGGTGAAATTTACACACACATAAGATTTCACATTTAGGAGTAAGCTTTGTAAGTGGCATTAAAAAAATTTAAATAGTTTGGCCGTTATAGGTAAACAATGAAATTAAGACCGCGGTGCATTTTGCCCTTCCGCCATATGCCCAATTTTGGGATTTCTCTTGCCCTCTTCTGGGATTCACTAGTCACATCCCTTAAGTTCAAAACGCATTTTTGTTTTTTCAAATATCTTAATTTTTACCAATGTTATAAAGAATTTAGTGTTTGAACATTTAACAAATTCAATTTTTCGATCTTCGTCGCCTCAAAATACTAAACAAATTTCAATCGTCCATACCGCGAGAACGGTGCATCGGATCAAAATTTCTCAAGAGACATAAAAATTAGCATTTTTCCTAAACTGCGTTTTAAAAATATTGATTTATTTCCGACATGTGCCTGCGCAAAATTGAAAAATTGACAAAATCCAAAATTTCGGCACTTTCGAAAAACTGCTACATTTTGTTCTGCCTTTTTTCGAAAAGATCACCTCAAAATACATAGAATCAATTTTGTTTCATCTAATTACAATTTAATGTAAGCTCAAAACCCGTAATTTAATTCGATTATATTGATTTTACGATATTCTTACAACAAGCGCAAAAACTGTTTTTATTTCTACCGTTTTAATTTCATCTAAAACTATCGACATTTTCGAAGAACTTGCCAATCTACAAAAGCAAAGGTTTTACCTGTTGTTTTGTTTAATTTTTAGGCATACCCAGACCTATATGTGTGGCCACATTTAAGAAGATTGCAGAAATTGGCCATCATTCATTATTATTAATGAAATATGTATTGAATAGTTAAATGATGTTTACATTTGTTTCCTTAAAATAAGAATTACACAAGAAATGTTAATTTATAGAGTGCAAAAAATATATAAAGAATTACCTTGCTCCTGTTCCTAATCGGAATATATTCTTCTTTAGAAGGTTTTCTTCTCTTATCCTTAAGGATCATCCTAGCTGCAGCGAACGCCATTGTCTTCCGGTAAGTTCTTACTCTTCCTTGGTGCAATGATGTTTAAACTGTCTATTTGTACTGCTAAATCACAGCATCATATGCGATATTAGTATGTCAAATTATCACGTTTTAAGATTTTCACTAATATTGCTGCGTTATTGCCTTCGGTTATGGTGTTTATCACTTTAAATTACCGTTACACGAACTCCGCTTAAAATTTATGCATTTATGGATAAAAATAAGGAATGGCTGGAAGAGTGCATGTTGTAAATTGTTGTGAAGTTGTAAATTTAACATAAAAGTTTTACAATATACGAATAGCATTGAGAAGATTTGCAAATACGTATAATAAATTGTACCATAAAATAAAGCTTAAATGCTCCGTATTATTTATTTGTATACTGAAAAAGTTAGTAAACAGTTTTATGAGATATTTAATGGATAGTTGGTGCTTATTTTACCGCAATAAATCACTTGATTATTTACAAATTAACAGTTAGTTAGTTATTTAAGTTACGACTATATTAAATGACTGGATAGTATTTGTGTTTAGCTACTCACCGACCAAAGTCAGAAGTAATTCGAAAGGCAAAGGGTATAATAAGAAATTTCCCTGAGTACCCATCCTCCAAATAAACAATTGCAATTAGAAAGTATCTCAAAGATGATAATTACTTTTCAGAATTTGAATTGCAATGAGTGTTATAATAACTCTTAGATAGTAATTGCCCTGTACATATAAACAAATTATTACTTATAATGCATGGTAATTAATTAAATTACGGCTATATGAATTCGTATTCTCATCTAAATCATACTTAGAGTACTTACTACACTAATTACACTACGAGATATACATAGTAATATTGGAGGTACTTGTTAAATTAAATTTAGTGGGGATGGGGAATTTAGGTAATCGTTCATTACAGAAGTTTTTTCTTTATCTTTGACCTTAGAGTAGACTGGCTAATCACAATTACTTAGGCTTCTCTCATTAAGTGAGTAAAATGAGGTACTATATTTGGGAATGAAGAATAAGCTCGATATTGTAGACTATTGAAATAATTCTACGAACTTCAATAGTTATTTATGTATTCAATAGTTTATTTATGTATTTAAAATTTATTTAGGTATTTAATAGTTATTTATATATTTAATATTTACTTATATATTCAACAGTTTTTTATGCATTCAATAATTATTTATATATATTCAATGGTTATTTATGTATGTATTCAACAGTTATTTCCAAATTCAATGGTTGTTTACTTATGCAATAGTTATTTATGGATCTAATAGTTATTTAATTAAGTTAGGTTAGAACAAAATTACTTATTGATCAAGTTTTGATCTAATTGTAATATTAATAAACGATTCTTATAAAACGTTTAAAAAAAAAAATTAGTTATTTATGTACCTATTCAATACTTATTAATATTATTTATATTATATATAATAATAATAATTATTATTGTTATATAACATTTATTTATGTATTCAATACTTATGTTTTTAATATTCTTATTTGCGTAGTAGTCATTTATTTATTCAGCAGTTATTCATGTATTCAATTTAATAGTTAGACATTTATGTATTTAACATTCATTTATGTATTCAATAGGTATTCTAATTTATGTATGTATTCAATAGTGATTTATATAATTAATAGATTAGGTTAGAACAACTTTTGATGAAACTGTAATATTATTAAAGGCCCCCATATACGAATTTATTTTTCAAAAAAAGTTATTTATGTACCTATTTAATAGTTATAGTTATTTATGTATTCAATAGTTATAATTATTTATGTATTCAATGGTTATGTATGTATTCAACAGCTTTTTATTTATTTAACAGTTATTTATGTATTTAATAATTATTTATGTATTTAATGAGTATTAATAGGTATTTATTTATTCAATGGATATTTATGTATGTATTCAATGGTTATTTATAAATTTATTAGTTATTTACCTATTCAATAGTTATTTATGAATTTAATAGTTATTTCATTATGTTGGGTAAGAACAAAATTACTCATTGATCAATTTTTGATCAGATTGTAATATTATGAAACGATTTAAAAAGAATAGTTATTTATGTACCTATTTAATGGTTATTTATGTGTTCAATAGTTATTTATGTATTCAATGGTTACTTATGAATTTATTAGTTATTTACCTATTCAATAGTTATTTATGAAATTAATCGTTATTTTATTAAGTTGAGTAAGAACAAAATTATTTACTGATCAATTTTTGACATAATATTATAAAACGGTTTTTGAAAAAAAAATAGGTATTTATGTACCTATTCAATGATTATTTATGTATTCAATAGTTATTTATGTATTCAATAGTTATTTATGTATTCAATAGTTATTTATGTATTCAACAGTTTTTTATGTATTCAATAGTTATTTCTGTATTCAATAATTATTTATAATGTTACACAGGCTTTTGGTATCTCAATTTATTTCAACTCAACTTTTAAAATAACTGCACAACTGATAACATTAACATATAACGTCTATCAAAAAACTGAACTCTGACGTCAGGTCGTCGACTTATATAGCTTGCCTCTACCTTTTAGAACCTTCTCGATCAATCCGGATTTTTGTATGACAAAGAATGACATTTCGAGACATTTTTGGACTATTATCCTCTACATTTACTTGTATCTTTACTTATGAAGACCGCAGTATGCTGCAGGGTGCTGCGTAACAATATATTCATTGGTTATTTATACATGTATTCAATAGTTATTTATAAATTCAATAGTTATTTATGGATTTAATAGTTTATTAATTAGGTTAGGTTAGAACACAATTACTCATTGATCAATAATTGATCAGATTGTAATATTAATGAACTCTCCTAATGAAATGTTTTTTTAAAAAACAATTACTTATGAACCTATTCATTATTTATGTATTTAACATTTATTAATGTATTCAATAGTTATGTATGAATTCAATAATTATTTACGTATTCAATGGTTTTTTATGTATTCATTCAATAGTTAAGTATGCATTAAATAGTTAAGTATGCATTAAATAGTTAATTATATATGTATTCTATAGTTATTTATAGTTCAATAGTTATATTTATGTATGCATTAAATAGTTAATTATATATGTATTCTATAGTTATTTATAGTTCAATAGTTATATTTATGTATTCATAAAAAAGCGTACGAGCGAGTATTAGAATGTGAGGTAAAGTTGATTTGTGTTTTAATACCTGTTTATACGCTTTTTTTTTATTAAAACAACTGTACTAATGGTGGTAATTGTACCTACCATATAGGACCTAGAAATGTCACAACTTTTAGGAATAATTGTTAATGTGTTTATAATGAAAACATTATTTTTCCTTGACGACTGGTAACAATTATAAGCCATTAATGTTTGTATGAAACTGAATTATGACAGAAAACAAATTAAAGAGGAATCATATTTTCATACCTTTCAGCTTATTTTGTGAAATATAGTCGATATTCCGTTTGAATTTCGAGAATTAGCTTTATCAGGGATTAACTAAAACACGTTTAAGCGTCATGTTAAATTTTCCGAGGAAAATAAATTTATCTAAAATTAGAGGATCAAAACAATTAATAAAATATTTCTTTAGTGAAGAATGACACTTAAAAATACATGTTGCAGTTTCTAAACACTTAAAATAAGTCACCTACTAACTGAAAAAGAAAATTAAGAAACAAGAGCACTAACTGATTAAAAAATAGGGTCTTACAAAGAGAAATTGCAGAACTAAAAAATGAGTCCATTAATAAATACCTACAAGAACTAACAGATAATATTGAAACAAACAATTTGATGTAGGTATATAGGAATTTGTATACAGAACTGTTTAAAATTAAATTATTTTAAAAGCTTTTCCGGAAAATTCAACCACTTGGCTTTTGATTTTCCAGATTCTCGCCAGATTTTCTTTTAGACTAAGTTTTGTTTTCCCTGGATTACTCTTCAGAGCCCTTGTCTCTCCGACATCACTTTTCACAAGTTTACTTTAAGTAGATGACTCTCACCGCAACACCGCTGATTTTTATGAAAAAGTGATTAAATAGAAGTGTTTGTCTGCAATATTAAAATTTAACTTTTATACCAGACAACATTAAGATTTTCCCTAGAGCGCTGGTTCATTGGATGAATATTCGTTATTTGAAAATTAAATGAAACTTTTGAAAATAGATAAGAAAATATAAGGATTGCTTTATATCAGCATCACTTTTTTAAGAAATGTGCAGCATTTTAAATATTTGATGTATTTTAAAACATAAATAACTATTTTAAAAACCATTTGATAATTATGGAAATAAAAATAACCAATATTAATTAAGTCTTTTTGAAATAAAAATTTAGTAATAATTTGTAATATTATTTTTTACTAATAATACTATTATTGTCATGGGAATGCCTAAGAAAAGTTCACTCATACTGTTATTGTCGCTGATATCGAAGAAGATGTTATACTTGGAATGGATGTAATGAACTTACATGGTTTCCAGTTAGACTTTAAGAACAGAATGATCAAAGTTGGTGCCGAAGAGGTATTCCTACATCAATATCGGGACAGTACCGTGCCAGTTGCTGTACAGGAGGATACGGTGGTACCCTGAAGAAGTGAAACCGTCATAGTAGCACGACTTAAAGAAACTATGGAAGATGGAACACCTGTAATGATGGAACCTTGGAACCACGTTGAAGAGGTTGGACGAGGAATTCTGATTGGAAAGGGGTTGGTCACGACTGCTAAAGAGATTCCAGTTCGTCTTATAAACATTAATGATCACTCAATTACCATCAAGAAACAGACCAGAATCGGAACTTGTGTACCAGTAACTTCCATAATTCGTCAGACTTCCGATAATTCCAATGACAAATTTGAGCAAATGATATCGGTTGCTGGTCAATCTTTAAATCAAACAGAGAAAAATAAAATAAAGGAATTTCTTCGACGATATCGAGATATTTTTGTACCAAAAGGAGGAAAAACAGG